TGATTTTGGTTGTTCACTTGCATAATGTGTCTTTTGTTTATGGTTTACCTGTAGCCCAGGGAAATGTACCTGAAAATGTCTAACCATCCCTGGGTGCGTTGAGCAGGGGATAGGGACATGGGTTAACAGAGGTACTTTCTGTTCAGACCTCCTCCTGTAGTGCTTTCCTGGACATGTGCAAGTGGTTCTTTTTTAAATGGACAGAGCATTCTGCCTCACAGACGTGGCCTGAAGAGCATCACCCCTGAGCAGCCTGCAGGTGTGTGGGCCACCCAGGGCCATCTCAGACGGGCACCGCTCAGAGCTGTCCCTGCTTCTCCTCTCCATGTTCAAAACTGGTCATCATCCCGAGCTACGTATGAGAAACTTTTAGAAGCTGTGGACAGTGTAGGGGCTGATTTGGCAAAAGACTTTTTTCGACAGGAAACATTTCGTGTGCTGTTTTCTTTGAGGAGGGTGTAATTATTGATACTCTAGACTGTGAACTTTTTGTGTGACAGTATGTACATTTTAAAGAAAAATATGACTAATCTGTTCGTTTTTGAAGGTTTATAATATTTATAATCTATTTGATCTCTAAAAATTATAAAAAATAAAATCATTCTTTAATTGTAGCTGGTGAGAATCTGTTTTTATGTTGTCGAACTCTCTTGTAAAGTTTTTCAGTTGTTAAGGCTGATGCAGATTTTTATGCCTGATGTCATCTAATTTATTTGACAGTGTGCCTTGAATAACAGAGGTGTTTGGTCAAAGGGCTGCCTCTTTAACTCCCTCGTGCTTAACAGAAGGTCTACTCATGGCACAGGGTCATCTGAGAGGCTCTGGACGGTGCTTTACAGACAATGAGTGAAATAAGCAGAGAAAGACAATAACATATGGTCTCTCTCATATGTGGAATCTAATGAACAACATAAACTGATGAAAAAAATAGATCCAGAAACACAGAAACATGGAGCAGAGGGACAAATCTTACAGGGAAGGTGGGGTGGGGTTGGGGAGAGATTAACAGGGGAACTTATATGCATATATGCATAGCCCATGGACACAGACAATAGTGTAGTGAAGGCCTGGGAGGAGCGGGTGTGGGGTTGAGGGCGTCCATGGGGAGGGGGAGGGGAAGGAGAGCATCTGTAATACTTTCAACAATAAAGATTAAAAAGGGAAAGACCCTGAAATAGCCAGAAGGTGGCAATGCTGCTGTGGCCTGGGAATGAAGAGACCCAGCGGGGCCAGTGGCTTTCAGGAATAAGGAGCCATTGCTGGCAAAAACAGTTGCAGGGCCAGTCCCAGAGACAGTTCTGGTGCTGCATGTGGAGGCCTGGACAGGCAAGGCCAAGCCCCTCTGTGCCCAGCAGTGTTGAGGGTGATCTGGTGTAGACTCCTCCCCCACGTGGCCATCGGTGGTGCCTGGGGCAGATGTGCTCTGTGCAGATGTGTCCAGCAGCTTTCTGGTCTTGTGAAAAGCTCCTCTGCATCTCCACTCATCCCCCCACTCCACTCCACAGTGCAGAGGACAGTGAGCTGGGAGGCACAGAGACTAAGGCCAGGAGGGCCTGCTGATGTGTCAGCTCAGCACGGTGTGTCCCCAAGTCACCTGGGGCTCAGATTTAAGCATCACTCACTCGCACATGCCAAAAGTGTGCCTCTTACATCCTGTGCCCTCGCCTGCTCCCTGCCCTGGAGGGTGCTCACACTAATGTGGGCCAAACACCAAGTCCACTCCCCTGGCCTCTCTGGCGGCATCGGCCCTTAGCAGCTGTGCCCTGGGGTTGGCACATTCAGTCAGTGCTGTGTGCAAACTCCAGGCCTCAGTTGCTGCCAAAGACTGGCCTCCTTAGCTATCCGCTTGACGGATTCAACAATGAGGCGCTTTGTGCTTCACCTTTAAAGCTGCCTGCTCTTCATTTTGGGCCAACATCACAGCTTATTTCGAGGCAGTAGTTGAATTTTTTCCTGCTCAGTTAACGTTGCCTTCTTAAGCAAAATGTTGGGAATGGTGTTTTGCTTTTTAAAGAAGTATCTTCTGCTGTGATCTTTCATTCTGGCCAAGCTGGGTCAACTTCTTGGCTTACAACTGGCCCAATCTTGTTCCGTCCAAGATGGTCCTCACATACTTTAACGGCATCCACATCCTGTAGAAGTTGGGGGTTCAGTCTCACTGGGTTCCTGATTTCTGATGACAGTCACTTGGAAAAAAAAAAAAAATGAACTACTGACCCAATTTGAGGATAATGTCATTTATTATAACTTTTATTTTTTAATGGGAGATGCACTATCTCTCATAAGCACTGAGGGTTAGAACTTATTTTTCTTTCCATGGTTTAAAATCACTTGTGTTTTCAACTCTTTTTTTCCTTCCCACATATATAGTGTGGCTTTTAAAAACCCAACTTAATGCCTGGCTGGCGTAGCTCAGTGGTTGAGCATTGACCTATGAGCCAGGAGGTCACAGTTGATTCCCAGTCAGGGCATATGCCTGGGTTGGGGCTCGATCCTCAGTGCAGGGTGCGAGGAACGTGCAGGAGGCAGTCGATCAATGATTCTCATCATTGATGTTTCTCTGGCTCCCCTCTTCTCTGAGATCAATAAAAATATATTTTTAAAAACCCAACTTATTTTGTTCATTAAATGTGTAATATTCACTTCTTCATTGTTCAGCATTTTACACACTTGTACAAAGGACATGTTTGTATACATATAATGATGAGAAACAGGAAAAAATGAGAATTGGTTAACTGCAAATAAACTAGACTCGAATTTAATGTACACATACTAGACATGGCTCATTTTTGTCAAGTTGGTTGTAAGAACAATGAGCAACCCTAACCCCTACATAAACAGTTGAATAGAACTTTCAATTGTTTAAACATCATGCTGTGCCTAACCTCCTGGCCTCTGCACAGACTGTCCCCTCTGCTAGAATGCCCTTCTTTCCTACCTCCCAACCTTCATTCTCCCCCATCTTCATGGCTAATGTGTACTCTCTCCACGTCCCCCCTCTAGAAATCCAGATTGGGCCAGTCATCCTTTTTTGTGGATCCCACAGCACCCCCCGCATACTGTTGCCCTTAATAATTTCCCATTCACTGTGGAGTCCTCAGGGCTGTCCCCATTGCACTGACCAGCCCCTTGAGAGTGAGTGGGACATGTAATTATTTATGGCAAATGGGAGACTCTCTCGAGCAAACATGTCAAACTCAAAGGCTAACACAGGCCAAATAAATAAGGCATGCAACCCACGGCCCGCGAGTTTGATATGCTTGCTCTAGAGCTTTCTTTTTACCTCCAACCCAGAAACCCACTATATTAGAGATGGTGGATCCCTAAGTAAGAACAATGAGCAACCTCTGCCCACCCCCGCCACTACTGACAATCTGTGATGGGCATGTAGCTTTGGTGAGAATAAACCCTAACTATTTTCAGCCATTGTAATTTGGGGGTTTGTTTGTTACCACAGCCTGACTGATACACATACCTTACTCGTTTTTGTATCCCCCAAACATTTGGCCCAACTACTAGCACAAAACAGACACATAAGAATTAATTCATATCACTATTGTTCTTGGCTGTGAAACTAGCCTCAGAGACCAGACAGAGGTTCCAAGACCAGCATCCTGTGCCCTTAATTTCTTCCCTGGTGATACAGGACCCTCCCTTGAGGTGCCCCAAAGCATCCCCATTCAGGAAGGTACAAATGCCAACTCCTCTGACCCTTTAACAGCTCGGACAGGCTCCTGGATGGATCCCAGTTATCCATGAGCCTCTCTCACCCACTTGCCCTGGCAAAGGCTCTGGGGGAGGTGGGGGAGGAGGGATCGCATACCACTGCCCTGATTATTAACTTGTAAAATCCCTCAGCCTCAGGCCATCTCCCGGGGGAAGCATGAGAGAGGACCTGTGCTTGCTCTGGGTCACCATTTGCGCATTTGGAAAAGTCCCAAAGGAACGAAAGTTTGTTCTCTTTGCCTCTTCAGTCCCCTGTGGGGGGAATCTTCGTGACCCTCTCCTCTTGCCAGCTCACCCAGGTCCCAAGTCCACCTCCTCCCTCTGCCTGACCCCAAGGAAGTGATCAACAAGTTCACACAGATGTGTGAATGTGGAAGGCTGGACCCTGCAAGTCAGCTTGGCAAACAGGTTGGAACTGCTGGTGCCTTTGTGCATTCTGGGAGGATGCAGGTCGTAGAGAGGTCAGAGCTGCAGCTGCTTTATCCCCAGGGTCCTGCAGCCCAATCCCCGTGAGGTTTCCCAGCCTGAGGACAGTGGATTCCAGATGCTCTGAGAGGATGGGTATTGGTTTCCTTTTCCCAGGAGTCCCAGCTCGAGGCAGTGCAGAGCAGCTAATGGGGTAAGTGGGGGGCAAAGAAGATAGGGCACTCTCAGAGGAGACCAGGGGGCAGTGGCACTAGGCTCCCCTTCACTGCTGATTCGCTCTTCCTTGGACCCTGCTTGGCACAGCCCCAGCCCCACTGCCCAGGGCTCAGGCTTCCTTTCTGGAACTTGAATTCTCAGCGAGGCTGCACTTGTCCGAGAACAAACTGTGCAAGTCCCAAGGTCGAGCTCACATATGTAGACAGCTTGGCACGTCCCCAAGTCCCTCCACATCCTCAGACCTTGACAGTCCTCCCAGCCAGGAGGGGAAAATATTATTGTCCATGTTAAACAGTAGACACAAGTGCTTGGTCCACACAGCAAGGGAGTGGCAGTCAGGATGGGGTCTGGGCCTCGGGCCCTATGGCCAGTGTCCTGCCTGCTCTACTGTGGTGTTCTAGGTAAGAGAAGGGCTTTTCCAGAAGTTTCACATGGAGCTCACACATGCACAGACATATACACACTCTTTCAAAAAGGTTGGCCCCACTGACATATTACTGGGGCTCTGAGACACATGTCCATGTCGGAGACCACGGGAGCCCCTGTGTGGGGTCTTGACACACAGGAGGTGCCAAGGTGCCTGAGAACCAGGAAGGGCTGCCCCAGCCAAGCCTCACGCCGGCCTTTGCAGCTCAAGGTGCACAAGCAGATGCCTGTGTCTGAGGGGCTCCCCGTGGTGGACACGTGGCTGCGGGTGGACTCCGCGGGCTCCTCTGATTCAAATTCTCATAATTGGACTCCTGAGCCTGCGACCTGTGGGCAAGAGGAAGTTGGCTGATCACCCCGACTTCCCAAACCACGGCCCAGCCAGGAGCAGCAAGGAGGGATGAGGTGGGTGTCGGGGCCCTGATCCAGGGCCTGGACACTAACTGAAGGTTGGAGGCAGGGCAGTGCAGAACTTGTGTGTGTGTGTGGGGGGGGGTGGGGGGGGGGAGTTGGGGTGGGGGAGGTAGCTCACTTACCGTGGTGGGGTGTCCTGGGTGACTGGATCCTCTGTGTGAGGGACAGGGAGAAAGAGAGAGAGGGCATGAATCTACAGGGTGGCTCCAGACTATAGGCCTGGCAGCCCACCCCACCCCACAGTGGACAGTGGCCTAAAGGGAAAGCTGGCAGGGTGTGAAGGGTAACGTGGAGGGTGAGCAGGAGATACCGAGGAGAAGGGGGAAGTGAGGGGAGGTCCAATAGAAAAGCCTGCCCTTCTGAGGACCCCGAGCACAGAATGCTGGGTGAGTTTGAAGAACCAGCAAGAGAAGAGCCAGTGTGGCCGTAGCAAAAGGGCAGCTGGGGCAACGGTGACCAGTTTTGGATTTCATTCCAGAAGAGTTTGTAGCTGGTGCTATTGGCTAGGGAGGTCTGAGTGGCTCTGAGAAGTCCCCCCTTTAGGGCACAGAAGCAAATTTCCCCTCCAGCCCAGGAGCAATGTAGGGCCCACTGCAGCTCCCTACTATTCACCCTTCCACGCTTCTGTGCATGTGTTCCCTCGGCTGGGAATACTCTAGCCCCTAGTCTTCCTGGCTCATGGCCTCCTGGCTCATGATCTCCCTCTCGCCTGGCTTGTAGAACACCCTCCTTCCCGGCCCCACCCAGATGCCCCCAGAGTGATGCATGCTCACCCTGAGCTCCCATGGTGCCTTAGGACACACTTCTGAGCCTGCAAGCTCCCATGGTGACTTAGGACACACTTCTGAGCCTGCAAGCATCTGCTCACTCCTCACCCCATTCAAGGGCCACGGGCGGGGAACTGTTTTATTCACTTCTATTGTGAGAACCACACAGTGGGATGAGATAAGACTGCACTTTTCCTTCGCCCTCTTCTCTCCTTTCTGCTGTCTTTCAGTAGTTCCAGGGTAATTTAAAGTATGTATTCTCTAGTCGCATTAAAATTCCTCCTCTTCTCCCCCTCTCCTTTCCCTTCCTCTCCTGTAGTCTTTGGAATTTGCTCTCCAGCATTCTGGGTTGGGGGAAGATAAGGGTTTGCTATTTATAGTCTGGCTACAGGTGGCCAAACTGTTTGGTCTTATTTCTAGCTAGCAGGTCCTCCCGCTGCTGCTGTGACTAGTAGAATGGTACGATTCGCCCAGCCCAGTGTCGGCAAACTTGTTAGTCAACAGAGCCAAATATCAACAGTACAACGATTGAAATTTCTTTTGAGAGACAAATTTTTTAAACTTAAACTTCTTCTAATGCCACTTCTTCAAAATAAGACTCGCCCAGGCCGTGGTATTTTGTGGAAGAGCCATACTTCAGGGGCCAAAGAGCCACATGTGGCTCACGAGCTGCAATTTGCCTACCACTAGCCCAGCCTCTGTGTGGTCAGAGAGCTCAGGGAGGCGTCCTTTAGAGGGGTGGTAAAGGGAAGGGCCCCAGAACCACACTGGCTGGTGGCTAGCTCTGTGACCCCAGGCTAGAGGCGAGTCCCTTCGCCTTGCTGGCCTGTGCATCCCCTCCGTCCCTGATTGTAAAGTGTGTTCACGCTGGTTCCCAGCTCCTGGGTTTGATGCAGGAAGAGGAAATGGAGGGGATGCACAGGCGCAAAAAAATGATGTTTTGGTTGTCATGCCAGGTGGTCAGCCTGATGATCTTATCTAAAACGAGAGCCCCCGCCCCGCCGCTCCCCTAGCACCCACCTAGGCGGCGGCGGCTGGCGTAGGCGGCCAGGGCACCCAGCAGCAGCAGCGCCTTGAGGCCGAGCGCGCCGAGCAGGAGGGCGATGGTGGAGGCCTTGGAGGCGCCATGGAATCGGAACAGGTAGACGCTGGCCTCGGCGTGGCCCTGGCTGTTGGAGGCCGTGCACGTGTAGCGCCCGTCTTGGGCTAGCGCGGGCAGCTCGGCGGTCACCTGGTGGCCAATGCCCTGGCCCGGGCCCTGCGCGCCGGCGGAGCGGTTGCCCAGGGCCGGGCCGGACCAGGCGAGGGCGGGCGGCGGCTCCCCCTCGGCCGTGCAGAGCGCGCGGAAGGCGTGCGCGGGTCCCGGCAGCACCGAGATGTTGATGATCCGCGGGGCAGCTGCGGGCGGCAGCCCGGGGGGCGGGGGCGGGGGCGGGCGGGGGGAGATAGAGCGAACCGCGGTCAGAGGGTGCGGCCGGCAAGGAGCAAAGGTGCCCTCCTCCGTCTCCTTTCTCGCCCAGAAAGGAGGAGGAAACGGTGGGAGCAGCGCGCAAAGGGGGGAGGAAGGGGGCACTTGGGCACCAGCCTGCCTGGGTCTGATACAGGTGTGGCCCTGGCCAAACTCTGCCGCCGCCCTGTGCCTCCGTTTCCCCAGGTGTAAAATGCGGCTCACTCACCTTGGGGCCGATGGGAAGATGTGGTGAGTTAATACGTACAGGGCGCTTGGACTAGGGCCTGGCCCATAGTAAGTGCTCAGTAAATGGTCCTTATGATCCTGGTGGCCCAGTCTGCCGGTGTGATCTCAAGGGCACCTCCCACCTCCAGGCAACCTCACCAGCAGCTAGAGTGGATGCTGATGCTCTGCACCCACGGGCCTGTGTTAGACAGGTGCCCCCCACAACCTTCTTCTCCCCCCCACCTCCTCCGAGAGGAAGCTGAAATGCTTTCAGAGGGGCGCGCAGCCAGCCCCAGGCACATGCGAAGTTCTTGGGAGGGTCGCACTCCAACCCCAAACTCCCGGACAACCCCGCCCAGGACCATCACAGGTCCCGGATGTTTAAAGCCGTACAGGGAATTCCCAATGCGCCGGCGGGGTGAGGACCGCTGCGCTGGGGGCGAGGACGCTGTTCCCACGGTCTCTGTTACCCCAGCATCTAGCCAGTGCGCCCCCCAGAGGACGCGGGTGCCCTTCAGCGCGCACAGCGCTCACCCCTCGGCAGCCCTGCGGTCCGATTTAGGGTCATCGTTCACTAATTCTTCTCTCCCCTGGACGTGGAGCTACTGGGGACTTACCTCTCCAAGGGCTCCTCTACAATGCCCATTCCCTGGCCCGCCTAGCCCTTCGGGGCCAGGATATGCGCGTGTGACCAAGGCCCAGGTGGCCCGTAACCATTGCCAAGGGTGAGGCCCCGCTCAGGAGAACGAAGTGTCCATGGATCGCCTTCCTGTCCCAGAGGGCGCATAGTGCGGGCCCATAGTAGGCCCGCAGCGGGGAGGGAGGGGGAAGGTGGCCGCCCGCGCTCACCGGTCACGCGCAGCCGGACGCCGTGGCGGCTCTCGTAGCGGTCGTGGACGTCGCCCGCGAACTCCACGCGGCAGAAGTAGCGGCCCGCGTCGGCCAGGGCGAGGCGCTCCACGCGCAGCGAGAGGTCGTTGCGGCGCGGGTTGCCCAGCAGGCGGAAGCGGCCGTGCCGGCTGAGCGCCGTCTGGCACAGCTCGCTGCCCCGCGCCGCCGCGCAGCGGAACACCTGCGGGCCCGCGAACGGCTCGCCCGCGCGCCAGATGGCCGTCAGCGGCCCGTCGTAGTGGCGGTGCGGGTGCGTGAAGGTGCAGGGCAGCACGGCCGCCTCGCCCGCCGCCGCGCTCACCTCGGCCGGCAGCTGCATGGACCAGCGCTGCGTCGGGGCACCTGGTGGGGATGGGGATTGGATAATGAGACGGGAGAGGGGGGTGGCCCGAGGTTCAGCCTTACCCGCCCGTGGGCTGGCCGAGGCACCCCATCTCCAGGTCTCCGGAGGGACCCTTGGGAAACCCATGATTCAGGAAGCATCCCACTTCCCACCCACCTACTCCCAGAGCCTGAAAAACCCAGGACTTAGAAGTGTCCCCCTTCTGGAAACCCGTGACTCAGGAAGCACCCCTCCCCCGGAAGAAGGGTCTGGAAAGAAGGGTCTGGAAACCCACCGGGTGCCATCTCCTGGAACCTTGACTCTTTTGAAGGGGCGGTTTCTGAACCCCTCCCCCCCCCCCCCCACTTCCCTGGGACTATTTCCTCTCTCTCTCCGGAGGTCCCACCTTGCCAACAGGCCCAGTGACCCCAGCACCTGCCCTGCTGCAGAGAAGTCCTGGATTCTGTGGTTGCTGGAGTCCCAGTCCCCCCAGGATGGTGAGGGTAATAAAAGCACTTACTGTGCACCTCTGTGTTGGGCAAGTTCCCGGTAGTATCTCTCTTAGTTCTCACAAGCGATCCTAGAGGTAAGCACAGTTATGTCCCGTTACATGTTAAGAAACTGAGGCACGGGAAGGTGAAGTAATTGCCTTCGGTCACACAACCAGGATGTGACAAAACCATCATTCAAACTCACTCCACAGCGGCACTCTATTGCGCTAAAGGCATGGGGTCGGGGGTCTCATCCAAGGACACCAACACTCCCATTCACAGAGGGGAAACTGAGGCCTGGGAGGGGTAAAGTGTTAAGTTGGTGGATAAGATTCCTCTAGAATCCAGGCCAACCCAAGCAGGCTTCCCAAGGGGCTGGTGTCCAGACAGGGACCTGAGAGGCCCTGCGTGGTGGCCGTAATGCTGCCCCCTGCCTCTGTGAAAGCACCCCTGTCTGGACTCCATGCCTTCACCTCCTGCGCTGTGAGCCTGTGAAGCACGGCCAGGCGAGAGCCAGAGGCTTCCCTCTGCCCCAGCTCACAGAGGGCTGTGAGTTACTCCCGTGAAATTGAGCATGTGATCTGAGAGAGCTGTGGGCTGGGGGGTGGGAGTGGCTGTCAGTGTGGGTCCTCAGAGGATCAGACCAGGGGTTGTGCCTCCCCAAGGAGGAAGGGCAGGCTTAGCAGTTAGTGCCCAGCTGCAGTTCCCAAAAAAGAATAGAGAGAACAATATAGCAGCCCTTGTATTTCCAAAAAGCTTTGCAAAGTATATAGTTCTTTCACACACATCAGGTCACATCCTCAAGACACCCAGGGGAGAAAAGCAGGGCCAACATTGTTGTAGATCAGAAAATGAAGGCCCAGAGGCACACAGGCAGAAAGGCAGTGGGGGGGGGGGGAAGGGGGAACCCAGCTTTTCTGATGCCAAGTCCAGTGCTCTTTGCTCTTCCAGGTAGCCTGGCATAGACCCTGGTGGGAGTCATCTCCCTGTGAACCATCCACAGGTTAGAGCATTCCTCCCGCACAGAACCCCTGACTACACCACCATGTGATGCCACTGATGTGTGGAGCATTGTGCATGACAGTCCTCCCCGTGACAGTCCTTCCAGGAGCCCCTCACGGCTACCAGACAGACCCATTAAGCCTTCTCTTTTCTGGTGACGGACCCAGCCCCCCCACTGCCCCTCCCTGCTCCCACTGCCTGCTCAGTATTTCCTGCAGTGTAGTGCCCTGACCTGGGCTCTAGGTGTGGGCTCCAAATCGGGTTCTGTGAGTTCTGCGTGGTGGGCCGTTATGCTGCCCCCTTCCTCTGTGCAAGCACCCATGTCTGGACTCCGTGCCTTCACCTCCTGCGCTGTGAGCCTGTGAAGCACGGCCAGGCGAGAGCCAGAGGCTTCACTCTGCCCCAGCTCACAGAGGGCTGTGAGTTACTCCCGTGAAATTGAGCATGTGATCTGAGAGAGCTGTGGGCTGCTCACATACAACCTCACTTTGCCCTTGTGTGAGCTTATGATCAAATAAAACCACAAATCCCCCCCCCCCCCGACACCCTCCCCCCCCCCCCCCCCCCACACACACACACATAATCTGCTAAACCAAATCTCTTTTTCTTCCGGACAAGTGGAATTACGCTTTTGAACCCAAATGGAGGATTTGACAATTATCCTGAGTAAAAGCTTGTTTGTTCAGTCTTTAACAATCAAATTTGAGAAACTTTCTGAGGTTTTGCTTGTTCAGTCAGTACTCCCAGCTGCAAAAAGCTCTCGGGACTCAGCCCCTGCCTCAGTTTCCCTGCTTTTCCCACCCTCTGTAACTTCAGCCTCCTCTGACCCCCTGCATCTCACAGGCATCCCAGACCCCCCAGGTATTATTTGTTCTTGTTCATTTATCACCTGGCAAACATTTATCGGACACGTCCCCACTCTAAGCCAGGTGAGGGGGTTACAAAGATCAACAGGAAGATTTACCAGCCTGCTGGAGCTCACAGCTCAGAAAGGGAGGCGGATCCTGGAACACATAATTACACCACTGCCTGCCAGGTGCTCTCATGAGAGGCACAGTGTTCCCTTTGTCTGAGCGTGGTTCTGGGCCCTTTCACTCACCAGCTCCCTCCTCACCGCCCTCAGGTCTCCTCTGAGTCTGCCTACAGTGGGAGGCCTTCCTTGAGGCCCAAGCCTGGGTGTGGAACACGGGTCCTGCCCTACCTACCCTGCGCCCCAGGGCTGGCAGAGGTAGTTCCTCTGCATGGGCATTGCCTGTTCACTGTGTGTCTCGCCCAGGTACCCAGAAGCTCTGGGAGGGCAGGGCCCATGTGTGTGTGGTCATACTTGTGTTACTGCCCAGCATGGTGCCATGTCACATAGTAAGTAATGCAATTGCCATGACAGGGGAAGGGTGATCCGGCTGGCAGGAATGGCTGGGCACATGACATGGTGGGGGAGAGGCATCGTGCAGATAGTAGGCGTGGGGGAGAGGCATCGTGCAGATAGTAGGGCGTGAGGACCCATGGGAGAGGAGAGGCCATTTCAGCAGAGCGTTGGGAAAGGAGAGGGATGTTACTAAGCCTCGGGGTGGATTGAAGGCAGTCTCGGCAAAGTGGACAACAGGGCAACGCAGAAGGCAAGGGCATCAACAGAGAGGCTGCAGGACATGTAGGGTTTAGGGGGCCAGAGTTCACAGTGCCTTGGGGGCTCTGTGGGGGACATACCTCATCTCATTTCATGTGCACAACAACCCCGTGAGAGACTGTCATTAGCCCCTTTTTATTATTTATTTTTTAAATATATTTTTTATTGATTTCAGAGATGAAGAGAGAGGGAGAGAAAGATCAATGATGAGAGAGAATATTGACGGGCTGCTTCCTGCATGCCCCACTCTGGAGATCAAGCCAGGCATGTGCCTGGACTGAGAATTCAACCATGACCTCCTGGTTCATAGGTTAGCACTCATCCACTGAACCACTCCAGCGGGCTAGCCTCTTTTTAGAGATGGGGGTGGGGTGAGGATTGGGGCTCAGAAAGCATCTGACTAACCAGAAACAGAGAGAAGCAGAGCCTGAGGCTTTGCCCTCAGGGTTTTGAATTCACCCTGAAGTGTGACACAGATGAGGTGAGGTGGGGATAGGGGTGTGGGTGGGGGGCGAGGTTCTGCTGTAGGCGCAGAGAGCCCACAGAGGCCTTCACTAAGTGTTACCCTTTTAGCTTCCGGTAGGGCTGGGGTTGGGAACCTGTGTTTCCTGTTTACCTGCTGTAGGATGCCCTCTCACATGGAGACCTTTGGATGAATCCCCCCACGGGACTCAAGGTTGGCAGGAATTGCCCAGGGTATGGATGGGTTTGCTTTGGTAAGAATCCAAACTCCCAACATCCTGTGACATTTACCATTCTCTCTGGCAGCTCACACACAGTCTCCTGTCTCTTAGGACAGGGGAGGGAAGACACCACCCTTTCTTATAGGATCTTTAATTTCCTCTCCCAGGTCTGTCAACCTCTGGGATCAATGGGAGGGAGGCCCATGTTCTTCCCATTGTCCAATATGCCTCCCCTCAGTGGTAGGCACAGGGCATGGGGAAAGTATTTCAGCTTTGGCACAGCTAAGCCTGAAGGGACAATCTTACTTGGGGTCGTTCTTTCTTCAGATGTGTATCAAGCACCCAGTTTATGCCTGCACTGTTCTAGGCTCATTCACGTAGTAGGAGATGTTTGGGCAAATTTCTTTCTTTTTTTTTTTTTTTTTAAATAAATCTTTATTGCTCAGATTATTACAATTGTTTCTCCTTTTCCCCTCCATAGCTCCCTTTCACCCGGTTCCTGCCCCACCCTCTGCCCTTAATTCCCCCTCCACCCCCCTCCTGCCCCTGTCATTGTCCTCATCCATAGGTGTACGATTTTAATCCAGTCTCTTCCTATACCCACCACACCCCTTTCCCCCTGATAATTATCAATCCACTCCCTTTCTTTGTTTGGGCAAATTTCTTAAATGGCCCAGGTCTCACTCAACACGTAGTAGGAGGTGTCTGGGCAAATTTCTAAAATGGCCCAGGTCTCACTCATCACATGTAGGAGATGTTTGGGCAAATTACTTAAATGGCCCAGGTCTCACTCAGCTTCTCTGTGGCAGAAAGGGGAACACAATACCTTTCTCATAGGATGAGGATTGAATGAAATCTCTGTAGATCACAGTGCCTGACACTTAGCTCAATGGCTGTTAGCTCCCTCCATTCACTAGCCCTGCAAAGGGGTAAGGTTGGAAGGAGGTAGGGCGGAGAGTGCTGACCAGTGGAGGAGTGTGTGGGCATATAACCCAGGGTGAGGCAGCAGGGGGTTAAGACACATTGATGTCCTAACATTGCACCATTTGCAACTGGATTTGGCATCTTAGACCACAGGAAATTCAATAGCCTAACCCAGTGGTTAGCAAACTCATTAGTCAACAGAGCCAAATATCAACAGTATAATGACTGAAATTTCTTTTGAGAGTTGAAAACCGACTTCTGTGCATGGGCCACGAAGTTTCAATTGCACTATATGTGTGCGCCCGCATATGGTATTTTGTGGAAGAGCCACACTCAAGGAGCCAAAGAGCTGCATGTGGCTCTCAAGCCGCAGTTTGCCGACCACTGGCTTAGCCCTTGCCCTTAATTCACCTGGTAGCCAGTCATTTCTTTGTGTATTTATTTACTCAATAGCTATTCATGGAGGGCCAATTGTATGCTAGACATTGTGTTGGGAATGCAATTACTGTGACAATTATATGGCCTTCTTCCATGTGTTTATGGTCTGGCCATTGCTCAGCCACCGTTTGCTTTTCATGTATACATAGGTCTAACAGGTCTGTTTGGTTAGCACCCCAGCTCAGGGAACCACAGAGTGAAAATCTGGAAAATCGATTGTGTTTTCAGGCCCATTGAAAGCAGCAAGAAAAGACAGCTGTCATCCTGGGAGGAAGGAGCTCATCAACATGATAAAAGATAGCTCAGGACCCAGGACAGAAACGCCAAAAGCTCAGCACAGAAGAGACTTTCAAAAGGAGTGAGGGCAAAGGGTCTTCAGACTCCGTGACCACAGAGGCTGTGTGCCAGATGCTTGCAGCTATGACCTGAGTCACCTTGGGGAGGTTCATTGCCTGATCCCCCACCTGGTGCCCCCAGGTGGGGGATCAGGCATCTGTTTTGGGCTCTAGCCCAGGCCAGACTGACCCTGACTTTGTGATTTTAGGCAAGTCTCTGCAGCTTTCTGGCCTCAGTGGGCTCATCCGTGAAATGATGTCTCGATGTTTACTAAGCTGACTTTTCAATCTAAAATCTGTTCTGAAAATAACATTTGGATAAAATTGATAAGGAAGTCAAATATTTTAGAAATATGTCTTTTTAAGTTAAAAGATATATTTCTAAAAACAAGCCATTAGGTATCCAGAAAACCTAGTGATTGACAGATGCATCTGGCCCTTGATGCCCACATATCATCATTTACCAAACTCTCCACATGGTTCCCTCAGGGTGATTGGGGCTCAGTTGGGAAGGGCTGGGCTGCAATATTGGACACCAGCTCCTGCGTCAGCATAACCATGACTCAACTGAGGGGTAGTCGAGTCACCCTGGACTTGTTATCCCAAAGCCCCATACAGTACTGCAGAACCTGGATGGCAGAAAGGGATCTGGATGGATAAGAAATAGAAACTTTGGTTTTGGCTGCCATTGACTAAGAATTCTACCAGTTCCTTGGTGAGGAGGGAGCAGGAACGTACCCAGAGCCTCTCTGGAGGTCGCTGGCAGTGGGCTCTGTGCTAGTCTGCTCATGTGAACTATGGAGAAAACTGCTTATCGGTCTCATCACAGAATGTGGGCCAGTTGCTGTGTGTGGATCACAGACAGGAACGTGATCCCCAGGTGGCCCTGGTGGGACAATGGCTGGTGGGGTAAGCGCCGTCACAGAAGGGTGCTTTAACAAGAATAGGTCTGCTGGGTGGGTTTTACATGACATTTTTGGAGGAAACAAGTTGTGGACTTGGGAGGGGGAAGGATGACATTACGTGGGCAACCAGCATGGACCTCCGGGCACTCAGAGAAACTCAGAGGTATTCCTCCCATGGTGGCTGGTCGTCGACAGGCAGCTAATCTGATGAGTCAGCTGGGTGCAGGGCTACCCTTTCCGGGGACATCTGGGCATGTCAACAAGGGTGATCTCAGGGAATGACTCCGATGGTGGCCTCTCAGGCACGGTGACACCGGAAGGTCAGGAGAGGGAGCAGGGAGAGATGTTCATTGTGGCCACCAACCTCACCAGTTAGGTGTGTGTGGGTTGAACTTGGGAACGTTGCTTTTCCTCCAATTCTCTCCTGCCCATTGGTTTGCCGCCACAGTTCTTTCTGAGCCTACATGCTGTCCAGATGGGTTATCAGTGGAGAAAAGGCGAGAAAGGGGGTGAAGTTCAGAGGAGAGAGGAGGGAGTGGAAACAGGAATTCTATCCTTCAGTGAGAACCAGATCAGAAGGGTCTAAGGAAGGCGTGAAGTACACTGATGTGTGAGTACAGGGCCTGTGGGTCTCCGTCTGCTCTCAGGTTATCCTGGCTTCCCCCTATACCCTGGCCTCTTTGGCTGCTCACCTGAGCTGAGTGAGATGCAGAGCTACTGTCCTGAGGCCTGTGTCCACCACAGGATGCTACTCTTCAGAGTTCTGATTCATCCTGTCCCTGTCTGCACTCCTCGCCTCCTCCAGGGACCTGTTCTTCTTCATTCCTCCTCCTCTCCGGGTAGGGCTTCTCCATCCAGCTGTGACCAGAGTAGCCACCACCAGCAGCAGAAGTATCCTGGCTCCCTAACTCTTCCCATTCCTCCTGGACTCACAATGCAGCCACCTCCTCCCACGTTACCTGCATCCTGCATGGGCATGCCACAGCCTGGGTGAATCTGCGGTGGCCTGGCCTTTTTCTTCAGTGACTCAGAGCAACCACATTCCTCAGAGCACCACACTATGGCCAGGCTCACCGCCACTGCACACAGGTGGTGCAAAGGGAGGGCTGCCCACAGGGGACTCTGGTTCACATCCAGGCTGTAACGTCCCAAAGTCACCTGACCTCCCTAAATCAGGCACAGGGCTCCTCACTCTGCAGGGGTGTGGGGAAGAGTCAATGAGCTGCTTGCCAAAGGTCCAGCACAGACGTCCCCGAGGATGACAGCTGCTGTGATTGCAAAACCTGCTTATCAGAGGTTTGTGGGCCGACTGCGCCCTTTCACAAGGCCACCCAAGTGGTCAGAGCCCAGACCAGTGTCCACCTCCCCTGTTCCTTGGCCTCTCCCACTTTCTAAAAGCAGATTTGTGGGGAGAATTTGTGGAAAGACATGGAGAGTGTGTGGAGACTGCCTGGAGATGAGGGCCTGCCCAGAGTACTGGGTGCTGAGTGGGTGACGTGAAGAGGGAGAAGGGCAGAGGAAGTTGGGGGAATGGGATGTGGAGCAGCTTCATTCAATCACTTTTGCCAGCAGCCCGCCCTGGGCCCCCCGCTCAGAGTGTGGACAGGATGTGACTGTAGCCCTGGTCCTGCAGCCCTTTGGGCTCTCACATCACAGCCAAGTCCAGGAGCCTCCTGCCCAGTCCTGCTGCCGCCTGGAGGGGCTCACAGGTGACCGTCATCAGAGCAGTTTCAGAAAGTGGGGCCCCGCTCACCTTAGCCATGGACCTGTGGGTTTCAACCATGAGGCAGCTGCAACTGAGAACAACAGGGTCCCTCCCCATAAGGCTCACACACGTATTAGCTCAGCCTTCTGCGCCATCTTGACACACAGCTGGAGCACTGGTGCAGTTCGGGCTTGTTCTGGAACATGTGATCGCGCATGCTTCCTCTAACTCTTGTGCTTAACTGACTCATAGCAGCTGACCCTCAGCAGGAGGGAAACAAATCCAAGCAAAACTCGCTTCTCTCCAAGCTGTGTGCCTTCTGTAACCTTTCATGCCTCTTATTGCATAACCATCGAGGGCCAGGAGCTGTGCGGGGGCCTTTCCTCCAAGATCTAGCTGTGCTTCACATCACCACTGTGAGGTGGCAGGGACCCCACTTTATCGGGGCTCAGAGAAGTCAGGAAGCCTGCTCAGGGCCACACAACCAATAAATAGCAGAGCCAGGATTTAAAGCCATTTCTGACATCAACACTCAGGTCCTGTACTGCTGCTCTCCTATCTGCCCCAGGTCTGAGCAGGGCTGCCTCTCCCAGCTCCTACTCTCTATGTGGGACCCAACCTTAAAGCACCCCAGAAAGATGGCCGAGTTCAGGCAACTTGGGAGAAAAGCCCCTTCCCCATTAGCCCCGCCATAGGGCTCTGTGCAGGGGACAGCGGGCAGTGTGTGTGTGTGTGTGTGTGTGTGTGTGTGTGAGGTCCAGTCTATGGTTCTAACCTCAGCTCCAGCCTGCCCGCCCCCCCCCCAAATCACTCACCATAGCTCTCTGTGTGTCAGTTTCCCGTCTGTGAAAAAGGAATAGAATAGCTCCTTCCACACTGGGATCTGAGGTGCACGTGAGTTACTAATTAGAGTGGCAGCACTTAGAGTTGTGTGGGCACTTCCTGTTCCTGTCCCACCCAGACCTGCCCCTCTGTTAGAGGGGGAGGGAAGGAGCTGAAGGGGTGCGAGTTTATCATCCAGCCCTGGCAATAGGACCCCACACAGGCATGTTGTCTAACAGCTTAGAACAACACGATGTCAGCGAAGTCACCAGCAGCACATGGCAGCAGGGACCATGCTCACAGACACAGATGCGGAGTCCGCGGTCACGGAAGGACCTCTTAGGCTGGGATCGAGGAAAGAGCTGGGGCCCGGACAGAGGACCACAGAGGATGGCCTCTGTCATTTATCCCAGTTCTCTCGTTGGCCCTGACCATCAGATTCACTCAAGGTGATGGTGGAAGAATGTAGATTCCTGGGCCCTGCTCTCTGATCTCTGCTCTCTGGTTCCACAGGTCTGGGGTGGAGCTGAAGTATCTGCATTTTAGTGTGTGTGTGTGTGTGTGTGTGTGTGTGTGTGTGTGTGTGTGTGTAGGTGTTCTTAAGCCTCACCCAAAAACATTTTTTCCCCATTGATTTTTAAGGAGAGTGGAATGGAGAGAGGAAGGACAAAGAGGGAGAGAAAGAGAGAAGAAAATATTGATGTGAGAGAGACACATCAGTTGGTTGCCTCCTGTACAAGCCCTAACCAGAGCCGGGATCAAATCTGCAACCTAAGTATGTGCCCTTAACTGGGAATGAAGCCCACAGCTCTTTGATGAGTGGGCCTATGTTCTAACCACTGAGAACCTGGGCCAGGGCAGTATCTGCATGTTAACAAGCATCCCTCTCCTCTGGGATTGTGATGCCGATGAGCTGGGATCAACCTGTGAGGCACACTGTCCCAGGGACACTAATTCACTGAGCTCAAGGACCCAGATGTCACTGCTACTTGGGCCACCACAGAGTTCCTGCTCACCCTTTGGAGGTCCTGCTGGGAGGTCAGGGTGCCCTCTCTCCCTGGCTCTATTTCCCACGTGAAATCACCTGCATCCTCACCCCAAACCTCAGTGTGCTCTCCTCTGCTCCTCTTGGGGTGTGCCAGTGCCCATCGCAACATAAAACACTGTGTGGGGCAGGGCTGGCTTTCCCACCTGAGACAGTGAGAGGTTACAACACTCAAAGTCTGTTCAGAGCCTGACTCTCCTTCCCACCCCTTGTCTGTTATCTCCCTGGATCCTCACGGCACTGGATGGGCCAGGCAGCCTTTCTACAGGTGGGGACACGGGCCCAGAGAAGTCAGGGGCTGCCTCAATCACTTGGAACCCAAGGCAAAGCCCAGACTTGAACTTCTGGCTCTGTCACCCCAGCCTCCCAGAGTGCAGCTCTTCCTCCTCCACAAGCCTGGAGATTCTGGGTAATTAATCCCACCTTCACTGAGTTTAAGGTGAGAAGACTGTACCAAGGGTTTTGTGAGCACCTGTCCTGTTCCTAGCATGGGCCCAAGAGAGGAGTGGGAAACTCACCCATCGGGAGGATGCACACCAAGCAGGCCAGGAGTCTGACGGACCCTTCCATGTTGTGAGCGCCTGGAGAGCAGCCCCCACATTCGGCCAGGATACCACAGAGAACCCTTTTTGTTGTGGGTGTGAGGGAAGAAAGATGTGAGGAGGGGTAGGCAGCGTGCCCAGGTCTGCACCATGCAGGGCTCTTGGGTGCCAGAGGAACTGGGGAGAGGCGGCCAGGCAGCCTGAGGTATGATCAGATGAGACCCGTGGGGTTTAGTCATGTGGAAAACTAAGAGGGGAACCACCCGGATGATTTTTCAGGACAGGAAACAGAGAAGTGGATGGGAAAGATGCAGGGCCTTTTCTGTAGTCTGGTCCCTTTAAAAAAATGACTGTGCTTATGCTTCCTTCCCTCCTCCCTCTTTCTTCCCTTCCCTCTCCCTTTCCCTTCCTACATTTTTTAGTGTCAGGATGGGTTTCCTCTCCCTCCAGTCCCTTCTTTTCTCCCCTTCCCCACCCGTTGTGACAAGATGATGAAAGAGACATTGGGGAGGAGCCTGCCAACATAACTCATCCAAGTGCAGCCAGAAGGCTGTCAGTACTTACAAGGAAAAGACTTGTTCACAAATGATCCACCTCCATGACCAGGGGCCTCCAGAGGGCCTGGGGTCCTAGACCCGCACCCCAGATTTTGATGGTCATAAGGATCACCTGAAGATCTTATTAAAATTTAGGTTCTGACCTGGGTTGTCTAATGAGTCCCTAGTGCTGCTGCTGATCCATGAGCCATACATATAGTACATCCAGTATGGAGAGCTGAGATCCCCTCCCCTACCCTGGGGCCACTGGGTAGAATATCAGATGGAAATGTGGACCCTGGGGGAGAAGGAAAGCTCTTGGAAGCTTACTTGGTGGACTCCTGTGGGACTGAAAGTGGGAGCTAGAAGAAATATTTTAATATTGCTATTCGCCCTTTCTCTATAATAGAAGTGTCAACCAAATTCACTATTGAAAATGACAGATTGAAACACATACATGTGATTGGCGCCAGTGAGAGCTTTATATGTATGTGTGAGTCAACTTAGCTTTTTATATATATAAAATAAACTTGCTTAATTAGACCAGCCTTCTGATATAGCTAAACTTTTTCCAGCCCAGTAAAACACCCCAACTTCTCTTGTAAGTAATTGTTAACAACACAGAAGTAAATATGAATACGAAGTAGATATTATTATTATAGATCATATAGGGAGAACAAAGGGTAAAATATTTAAAAACAGCAGTGTTTGACTACATTCTACTCAGAAAACCTCTGAAGTCATTTTCAAGGTCCACCATTTCTTCTTTTCAGTCAGGTCAAGTTTCTAAATTTTTAAAATCTCCGTTTTCTGGCTAATGAAAAGAAAATCAGATTCCACCGGTTTCCTATCTACCTACTCCAGGACTTCTATGAGGATCAAATGAGATGAGGCACAGGAAAACATATCACAAACATTTGATTAAACTGTAAAATGTTTGAATCTGGCTATAAAGCAAGTCAGGTTCCTGGGCTGAAGAATCCCAAGGAGGCTAGTCACTAGGGAGAAGTAGCCAGGCGTTGCTACGTGACATCATTACCTGGCTCCCATAGCCACCATTCTGGGCTGGGCTGGGCTGTGGGCTGCATTTTGCACCAGGTGCATTGGGTCACTCTGGGGTGGTGGCGGGGCCTGTGTCCTACTTAGGGGAAGCCAAGTATTGCTTTGTAAGTGCCAGGTCCACAGTGCCTTTTCTCTCTCAAATGGCCAGTGCACATCATGGCAGCTCTTGAGCATCTGCTCCCTTGTGGTCAGTGTGCATCATAGCAATCAGTCAGATGATTGGACACTTAGCCTCTTATATATACTAGTATAGATAGTTTCAGGGCACACCATACAACTCTCCAGTTTTCACAATCTGACTATGAGATGGATCCCCATTTACTATGGCCTATTCACTTCCCATTGGAAACACTCAAGTGCTGTTTATTATTAATCTGATTCCTATTAGTTATGCAAATGGAAGCTGTAACTTTAAAGTTTATTTGGGGCCAAGGCTGTAAGAACACAATGTTGTAAATTACAATTGCCATCTAAAAATAACAGAGGCCAGGAGGACAGTAAGAGTTTTAAAAGTAAAATTCCTGTGCCTTAGCAGCAGTTATAGAGGGCCATAAAATTCCTTTCTGAGTATTCCTTTTCTATTCACTTTCAGCTTCCCCTGTTCTTCATTCAGAAATAACCAACGTACTAGAACAAACTACTTATTTTTAACTTTTGTTAAAAATGCACACATCCCTTTTATACTCTCTGCACTAACATTCCTTCTAAATTTTAAGAGAAACCATAAATAGTATTACAAAAGTTATTTCATATACCTTCAGCAAGCTGGGCTATTATGCAAGGTCTGAGAAAAGCCCAGAGAACAAGTATAATTCTTATTATGACTAATATTAGCAGACAGGTAAAGACACTCAAACAAATGAAGTTCAACATCAATTTGTAGGAGTATAGACCTTGTCAAATTTGTGGGAAAGGTGTCTATTTCTGGTGTCAGTGGCTTCTTGTTCTCCGGAAGTCTTTGATCTCTGCTGTAGGTGGAGCCAACTGTCATTCACAGTTAAGTACCTGATAAGGTCCCTTCCGATGACGTTGGACAGAGTCTTTAATTGATATCTTTTACAACAGCTGTAATTCATGCTCCTTGTCTTTTGGGAGCTCACCGTGAAATAAATTGGTTACTAATTTATCATCCCTAAAAACTGGTTATTAAGTGCTTGATAATAATGCAGAATGTCTCCTTTTAGTAAAGTTGATTCATATATCCCTTCATCTGGAAGCATAGGGTAACCAGGGACTATTTAATGAGGAGTAGATTTTAGGTTGAGGAGAACTATAAGGAGAGATTTTGGCCACAGGAGATGAAAAGGTTTTGAATATTTGCCCAGTTCAGTTTTAATTGTACCATTTGTATGTTCCACCAATCCAAAGAAGTGGGATGATAGGCACAATGAAAATTCTGCAGAATAGGCCAAATATTACAAATGAATCACATTTTTGCCCAGTGAATTGAGTCACTCAATCACTATAACTCAGAGGGAATTCCCCAAATGGGAATTAATTTTCCCCAATAATAATTTACCTATTGTGAAGGCAGTTGCTCTTCTATAACACAATATCTCAACCAAGTAAAAAACAAACAAACAAACATACAAATCATAACTAACACACATGATATTCTTGAAATGGTGGAATTTGGATAAAATCCAAAGTTCCATACCTCAAGTGGATCTAAAAGAAGTGGGAATGTCCTTGGGATTATTTTCTAGCATTATATTTGGACAGATAGAACACATGCTATATACTTTATGAGCTACAATTGGAGGTTTCCAGTAATATTCTTTATTTCATGAAATAATATTTTCAGGACCCCAATGTATTAGCTATTGTACATATTAAAGTATAGTTATTTGTGTCACTCAAGTTAAGATTTGTTTCTGATTGGGTCCAAACCACATCTCTTTGTCTGAGTCAGAGATTCCCCCTTTTTGTTGCCATATCCTCTTGTCTCAATTGTCTATTGGTACTGCTAAAGAGAGTCTTTTATTGATTTAATAGGAAGCAAGGATGATTATTGGGTCTGGATAATATGGCTGTTTAATGCTGCCTGTCTAGCAGCAGTATCAGCTAAATTATTTCCTTTTGCTTTCATGGTGGCAGCTTTAGGATGCTCTGGAAGTTTGATAACTGCCAATTGTGTCAATTTTGTATGACATCTACTGTCTTTCCCCGAAAATAAAACATCCTCCGAAAATAAGACTTACTTACAGGTTTCCTTCTGAGTGAAATATAAGGTATCCCCAGAAAATAAGGCCCCCCCTAGGCTCTGTCTCAGAATGCTATTGCTAAACATGAGAGATTTGGTCCACTGATTCTGAAAGAAATGGAGTCACAAGAAATTCACCAGGAAATTCAGGAATTGGATTGTTATGATGATGTTCCAGAAGATGATGACATGATTGTCATTGAATAAATGAATAAATTCTTGACACTGTAGGATTCACAGTTTGTCTGGTTTGTGTTGACAACTACCGTCTTACCGTATCGTATACAGGTAATAAATTTCCTTTATTTTCATTTAACAATAAATGTGTACCGTATTCTTCTTCATGGAAAAATAAGACATCCCCTGAAAATAAGACCTCGCGCATCTTTGGGAGCAAAAATTAATATAAGAAACTATCTTATTTTGGGGAAACAGGGTAATAGTTCTACAACGTATTTTCCATTCTTTATGAGCTGCCCTGAGAAAGTTAAGAAGCCTTGCAGCTTCTACAACATTGTAAAGTTGTGAGCTACACCAATAGCATAGCTACTATTAATATAAATAGTAATTATTTGATATTTGGCCAATTGACAAGTCCAAGTTACAACAATGAATTCAGCTTGTTGGGCAGATCTTATTCAGGTGAATAAGAGCTTTCAATTATGTACCATGGAATTTATCGCATGTCCAGCTTGGTAACATCCCCTTTCGTTTATCAGAGATCCATCTATCAACCAAATTAAGTCAGCATTATCAATAGGAGTTTCCTGTAAACCATTCCTAGGAACAAGAAGATGGTCAGTAAGCAAAACACAATCATCAATGTTTTCATCCTGCAAAGAAGGTAGCAAAGTTGCTGGGTTAACACTGTTATAATGAGTTCAAGTAATGCTAGGCACAGAAAGCAACAGCCAGTTGACTGACAGAAGTGTTCTCTGCCTGGGAATGGCTTTTCCCTGAAGGGAGCTGCTAGAATTCCTGCATTAACCTTGTCTGAATTTCTATTCTCATTTCCCCTTAGGTCAGTAAGCAGTGGTAGTGGAGGATATATCTACACTAATAAAAGAGAAAGATGCAAATTGACCATACCTCTGCAACTCCCACCATCAAATCAGGAATGACTATGCAAATTAACCTGACAAAGATGGTGGGATAATTTGTATACACAGGTGCTGAAAGGCTTGGGTTCCTGGGATATCCTAGGGACCCAGGCCACTCCTAGCCTGT